GAACTGACCCGGTTCGAAACGCATTCATGGTTTCAGGAGCCGGGTTTACCAGGTACCTGCCCTTATCCGGGCTAAGCTGTCGGAAAGTCGTGTCAGTAGGTACACCAATTACTTCGAACTCCGAACCGATATAAGGAGGTTTCACGCCATTAAACAACGGCACGAAGTGACAAGTACCGCATTGTGCCTTGCTCATAAAAAGATTGAATCCATTTTTTTCTTCCGAAGTCAAGGTATGCCTGTTATTCATTGCATCATCGAATGGCGCCGTGTATTGACTAAACCCGGCATAGTAATAGGTTATCGCTGATACAATGTGACTGATACTTACATCCTGCTCTTCGGGAGTGTATTTCAGGAATTTTTTAAAAGCATCTCTGTAAGTTTTACAACTCATGACTTTTTTCACGAGGTCGGCAGGAGCGTTGTTCATTTCCTGCTCATTGTGCATCACATCTTTTGCCTGGTCTTGCAGGGAAATATGTTTTCCATCCAACATGATAAGATGATTATAGGTCACATTGAGTAATGTTGGCGTATTGCGTGCCAGCCGAAGATGGTGATCAAACTGGAAGGCTGTTGCTACTGTTGTGTCGGTAAAATATTCTCCCGGTTTATGGCAGGAAGCGCAGCTTCGCGAATTGTTTGATGAAAGAATAGGATCGTAAAACAACAACTTTCCAATTTCTTTCACTTCCTGTAAAAGACCCGGATCATCAACCAGTGAAAAAATTCCTTTGGTGTTTTGTGGCAGGTATAGAGATTTATCGAAGATGGATTGACAGTCATTATTGAGTGAATAGTCATTATAGTTTTTAGTAACAACCCCATATTTGACGATGAATTGCTGGTTCATCCGGAACAATGGATTTACAAAATCCCTCGTGAAAGTAAAATGATCAAATGAACTGAAGCTGCCGGGTTGCTCATTGGTAAAAGCGATCATCCTGTTATACAGGGTAAGGTATTCCGGGGAAAGCGGCGTTTTGGGAAAAGTTTGGTCGTAGGTTGTATAAATATCTTTT